GCAAACGGTATTTGCCGTAAGTCCCCCGGCGCGCTCGGTGCGACGAGAATGCACCTGCTGCTGCCCCTTTTTTGCCCGCTGTTTTGTTTGTTTCGTTTATCGCGTTGGCAGCGGAACTCGCGGAACTGGAGAACGAGAGAGAGAGAGAGAGGGAGACAGTAGGGTAAAGGGGGAAGGGAAGCGGCGCAAGGGGCGCAACCTTTCCCTCCAGGAGCAGGAGGCCCGACCTCCTGCGCGGCGGTGTGCTGCTACCCGAGTCGCCGACGGAAGCGGCGCGTGTAGGATCCAGGGCGCTCCAGGGCGCTCCAGGGCGCTCCAGGGCGCTGCTCCAGGGCTCCGGCGTCCGGCCTCCAGCACCGCGGCCGCGCATGCTTCGGGTTATTTCGGGACCTGAACCGGTTCCGTCTGAAGCGGGCGCACCAGGCAGGCGGGCGTTCGGTGCGCCACCACCCGCCCCAGCTGGCAATGCAGCCCGTCCCGTCCCGCCCCGCCCTGCCCAGCACACGGTGCTCCACTTCCCGAACGGGCGTGGAAATAAGTCAGCCTCCTCGTGCTACCGCCGCTACCGCGCCGCCGCGTTGAGCCCCGGTGCTGCTGGACCCAGCCCCGGCCCCACCCCCCGGGGGGTCGCGGCCAGGAGGCGACGGTCATCACGCTGATGACCCGCGAAGCACCGGCATCAGACGGGCGTGGCGAGCACGCAGCCGTCGTCGCGGACGGCAGCAGGGAGGAAATGCACGGGCATTAGGGCCCCGGCACGCCTCGCGCCTCCGCGGAAGGGGAGAGGACATCATCGCCGTCCCTTTGGCGGCGCCGACTCCTACCGCCCAACAACTGCTTCTGCGCGACCGTAGAACGCGCTGCAAATCATTTTGCAACTTTACTCGGGGGGTCCGGCTGTGTTGAAAACGCTCTGACGATGCGCTCCGCCCCGGTGGGTCCCGGTCGGCCCCGCCTCAACGGCGGCCTTATTGTGGCGCCGGCCTGACCGCGCGCCCCCGCCGCGGTGGGGCACTACTGGTCCAGCTCAGCGCGCGCGCGCGCGCTCTCCACCCGCAAGGCCGACGACTTATAGAAATTAACAGGTTAGCCGAACCGTAAATCTAGTTTTAATTATCTGCTCCGACAGGCGAGCGAGCGAGCGTCTTTTCGTCAATGACCTTTTTGCGCCCTCTTCTCCTCCTCCTCCTCTCGCGAGCCCTCTCCATAACGGTTATGACCGTCCGACTGTCCGCGTCTTGAGGCGGTCCGACCGACGGCCGGGTCGATGAGGAGCCACTCGGAGGATCGTTGGATAAGAACGACCCCCGCGGCGGCCGCGGCCGGCCTTCACCGACGCACGGCCTCGATAGAGCGAACTCCGGGAAGCTTATTATTATTACGGCCTCGTTTCTGCCAAACGTGCATCGTGCGTACAGTTGGATAATTGGGGGATAAGTGATCGGGATGTTACATCGCAAGGGATACAGAAGAGCGCGCGTTTCCATAGGGTGCAAAGTGACACTCGCCTTCTCCGTCACCGACAACAACAACAACAACAACAACAACAACAACAACAACAACAACAACAACAACAACAACAACAAATCGTGAGCTTGCCCGATGGGGTGGCGGCGGCTTAACATTCTTTAATGTCCGCGGAGGGCGAGGGGCTTGGAGGGGGCGGTATGGGAAAAGTGAGGTTATGTCATCGCTACCGGTCTGGAGCCAGCAGAGTCAGCGGAGCCGCATGGAAATGGCAGCGGTCCGGCCGACCTGGGCCGGCGGGACTGGCCGCTCGGAAGTGGACGTCGCGGACGTGCTGTGTGGCGCGAGCAGCTCCCCCCCCCCCCCCCCCCCCCCCCCCCCCCCCCCCCCCCCCCCCCCCCGCTCTCCCTCCGCACACCCTTCACAACCCTGCTCATCGCCATCCGCTCTGACCCAAGATACATCCCGAAACAGATGGTAAGAGAATGAGTTGGGTATTCGATTGCTCGACATCGCATTGTCGTTTGGTTCCGTTTGGTTCGCGAATAAGAGGGCGTTGGAGAAAGTCTGTTTACAACAGATCCTTTAGGCAAATTACGGTCGCTCGGCGCCTGCGAGACCTGGGGTAGGCCACCCCGCAGTACACGCATGCACTGCAGGCAAGATGATGCCTACCTGCCAGGCGCTTTGGGGGCCTGCTGAGACTGAAGTTTTTGGTTCTGTATGTATACGACTTCCATGCGACCTTTCTCGAGTTTCAGTACAGGGCGATATTCTTGTAGCTGCTAAGAGTGATGGTGAATTTCTTCGGAGACCTAGCGAGTGGAATGTGTGCAGTAAAGTCGCTATAGTCGGTGCAGACCATTGCGCTTGTAAAACCGCGACGGGGGTCTCGATAAGAGACTGCGAGACGAACGCGATGTGTATCGCCTGGGAGTACTCGGCCCGCGCCGCTCTCGTACGCGCGTGGCGACGCGATACACATCGGTTCAGAGGTAAGCAGCGAACTTTGACATTTTTGGCAAGAAGTCGA